GTTATGGATATCCAGTTAAGTCACATCAAATATACCCCACTATGGAGTAAGGAGAAAAGTGTTTTACCTAAACTACTGCACAGCCTGACTATCCTTCATTCCCGTGTTTGAGGAGGGATAAACTCGGAAGGGATAGTAACTCAAAGCCACCAACTCCCAAAAAATTACAAACAAAAGGGCAGTAACAAACTAAAACAAGGATTAACAACACAAGCAGAATAAAACTAATTACTGGGAGATGACATCTTATGTGTAAACAACGCTACCACAAGCAGTAAAACAAAAATTTGGTGATACATTCTGATTCTCTAACACAATTGCTCCCATTTAAGGTTCCAGCTAGCTATGCCATGCTCTAGAATATTATGGCTGCTAGCAATGCAAAGAGGTCAATTCTGTCTCCCAACTTCTTTCAGTTTCCAAATTTATCTTTTCCAAATGACACTCAACATTTCATTGCTCCTGATGACCACTGAGCATGCTTATTTCTCAGTCAGCTGTTTTCATTTGTACTTCTGCAAATCTGAGTTCCTTTGCAAACACTGATAGCTCAGCCTTGTTTGTCAGAAGCCCCATTTGGACTACCATATTTTTCGCCCTATAGGACACACTTTTTCCCCTCCAAAAATGAAGGGGAAATGTGTGTGCGTCCTATGGGGCGAGTGCAGGTTTTCGCTGAAGCCTGGAGAGCGAGAGGGGTCGGTGCGCACTGACCCCTCTCGCTCTCCAGGCTTCAGGAAGCTCTCTGCAAGCCTTGGGAGCCCGGCGCGACTTCCCGCCGGGCTCCTAAGGCTTGCGGACAGCAGCCTGTTCTGGGGTCGGGGGAAGATCGGGCTTCCCCCGCCCCAGCCCCATGCCTGGGGGGGAAATAATTTTTTTTCTTTATTCCCCCCCAAAAAAAACCTAGGTGTGCCCTATGGTCCGGTGCGCCCTATAGAGCAAAAAATACGGTAATTTCTGTCAGTCAAATTCACTACTGAGGTATCCACAACTTGTGATACTTCATTTGGAGCTGAAATAATTATGTGTCTGTTTTTCATTTGAATAAGTTTATAGGCATATAACTAACCCCTTTCTTAAATAAGATGAAATATTTTGCTATGACTTAAGAACAGATTAATGATGATTCCGGTATGTTTATTATCTATTCTCTCAATCTCCTGACCTTTTCATATTAAAATATGACTTCCATGCTGCTCATACAGGATGGGTTATCTTATGTGCTATCTGAAACTTTGTTGTTCTTTTCTTCCAATTTCCCATACAATTTTTATACCCTTCTAAAAAAATATTTTAAATCCATAATAGATCAGTTGGTTAGAGTGCAGTGCAGATAATATCAAGGCTGGAGGTTCAATCCCCATGTGGGACAACCACATATTCATGCATTGGAGGGAGTTGGACTAGATGATCCTCTGGGTCCCTTCCAACTCTAGAATTCTAGAATTCTATTAAGTTAAAAAAGTATTTTCCCCCTATACATAATTAATTTTGCATAAAAGGCATGAGATCACATTCAGAGGCTCTCCTCCAGGTATTTCCTTCATGTGCAGTATAGTGGTGGCTGTGGAAAGAATTGTATGAATGCCTCTTACCTATTAGTGCATAGAGGACTTTAAAGCCCTGAGTTTAGTTGTTAAAGTATGGAATAATTTATGCTGCTTATCAGTTAGCACTGTTTACAGAAAACTTAACTAGCTTTTATCTTATGGAACGGAACAAATTTAACTGAAGCAAAGCCGACTTCAGATTTATACAAAAATTTAGGATTAATAGGAACTTCAGATCCATTAATAAATGTTTCCCCCGCCTACTGATGCAATGGTTTTAATTAAACTTCACCAACCCTTTTAGTTCAATCCCTTGAGCTGACCTCTCACACACTAGAGGTTTTAAATCAAACTGCAAAAAAATCCTCAAAGCTGCAACTTAAAGTGTTAGCCACAGGAGAAAACCAATAAAGGATTTATCAAACATGTCTAGTAACCAGTAAGGCTTTGTAAAAGAGATTTTTTTTATAAGTTTATTTAAAAAATAAAAAGAAACTATGATTACCATGTAGACTACCGTATTTTTCGCCCTATAGGACGCACCGTCCCATAAAGCACACCTAGTTTTCTGGGGGGGAAATAAAGGGAGAAAAAATTATTTCCCCCGCCCCAGGCACGGGGCTGGGGTGGGGGAAGCCCGAGCTTCCCCCGACCCCCGACCCCAGCCCCCAGAACAGGCAACTCTCCGCAAGCTGCGGGAGCCCAGCGCTGGGCTCCTGCGCCTTGCGGAGAGCCGCGCAAAGCCTGGGCGCGCTGAGCCCAGCGCGCCCAGCCTTCAACATTCAAGCAACTCTCCGCAAGCCGTGGGAACCCAGCACCTTCGTGGGAGCCCAGCCTTCGGCATGCAGGCAATTCTCCGCAAGCCGCGGGAGCCCGTCGGTGCGCACCGACCCCTCTCACTCTCCAGGCTTCAGCGAAAGCCTGCATTCGCCCCATAGGACGCACACACATTTCCCCTTCATTTTTGGAGGGGAAAAAGTGCGTCCTATGGGGCGAAAAATACGGTAATCAGTTAGCCGGGATCTATCAAAAACATATTTAGTATTTATTTAAGCACTTAGCTCTTTACTTGCTTTTGAATTCTCTCTGTCTCTGTCTGTCTGTCTCTGTCATTGTCTCTGTCTCTCTCTCACTCACACACACACACACACACACACACTTTGTGAATTATCACTGACATCATTTTTGTCTGAAACTTGGTAAAAGTAACATTCTTGATTCTGGGATATGCAGTCAGGAGTGAATTTGCTCTGATACAAATCACTATGATCTGGAACTAAAAAACTGTTAGTGAAGGGAAATTAAGCACAAGCACTGATCTGCATACTGGGACCCTGCTTTGCCTCTGAGAGGAGCTCGCAGCTACTTAGCCTCCCTGCCCTGTATCATTCTGAACAAACCAAGATTTGGCATAGAATGTTGTTCAAACCTGGGCCTGTTGTTAAGCTCTCCCCCTTGCTAACCACTCAATCACTCAATGGAGCTCTTAGACACAAGCAGCAGCTCATGTTTAGGGTCTCTTCTTCAGATATCAAAGATGATGAGGGCCCAGGCATGCAACAATGTAATAATAAAACACCATGGGGCAGATGCAGTGGCACAACTCTACTCCTCAGACATTGTGTTTACAAACGATTAGATTAGATGGGGGCTACTATTCAGTACCTTCACAGGTTGACAAGCCCTATTTGCCCTTCACTTTCCATGTAGAAACCACCTTCTGGACTGTTGGACCCACTATTGGTATCTGCTCAATTCATGTGCAGGGTGAAGTCCCTAAGTCAGTGAGGGTTTGAGACCCATCAACTACCCTCACTTGCTTTAGCTGGCCAGTCAAATTTCTGGGGGTGTGGCCACTGTCAAACGTGGCAAGAGCTGAGTGCAGGATGGGGACCAAAGCTGGACAAACTACCCCAGAAGGTGCACGGTGTGTCCCCCACCAGAGGTACCACCCCTCCCCTAACACCCCATATGGTCCATCTAGGAGAAGAAAAACTCTGACCCTAAACCTCTGCGGTCTTGCGGGATATCTTCAGGAGAATAAAAAGCCAAGGAGTAAACCCTACACAAATCTAGAGTAAAGTCCCGAATATGGTTGGATGGCACCTTCCACATCTCCTTCCAGCAACTCCTTCAGCCAAGCTAGTGCCAAACATATTGTGCTGCTATCCTTTGGACATGGGAGGCAGCAGTTACAAGTTAGCAATCTCTGCAGCCACAGCAGGTGCTGTGATTCTCCAACAGTTTGATTTTGCCCCCGGAGGCACACTGCAATGTCTCCCGAGACAGACGGATGCCAACAACCATCCATACGGTTCCTTCATTTAATGAAGGGAAATACAAAAATAGCAACTGGGTATAAACATCTTTACTCTGCTTTTTTATCAAAATATTTGCAGAGCTATTTTCAAAATGGCTGTGTATATGTGTAGATATTTGAAAACTTCCATAAATAAATAAATAAATAAACAAATATGCCCAAGCAGTAGAAGATCTTTATCATTATTTACTATACTGCTCCTTGTATTCTGAACCAAGGTGTATATTCTGAATTTTTAAGCATGGTACTTGATGGTGCCGATCAAACAAAAATTACATATTTATTGTCTGATTCTGACAAATTCATGACAGCAAAAGTTACAAGTTTTGCTCAGCAGTTCAAAAGCTGTGGATAAATTTTATTTAGGCTAATATGGTAAATTGCAATGATTTAATTGAATTTTTTAATTTAAACATTTATCTCAATGCTTTTAAATGTATTTGCATATTCAGTGCATTCGCCTAGATAGATAGATAGATAGATAGATAGATATAGATAGTTTTATTACTTTTTAAATAGTATTATGGTATATTTTAATGTAAATATATATCTATTCAACAACACTGTTCTTCAATCTTGTATCAGTGTTTTTTGTTTTATTACTTTTTAAACTTTACTATATAGTATATCAGTAGTATTATGGTATATTTTAATGTAAATATATATCTATTCAACAACACTGTTCTTCAATATTGTATCAGTGTTTTTTGTTTTTTATCTATCTATCTATCTATCTATCTATTTATTATTATTACGACAATAAACAGTGTGTGTTGTGGAAAAGATGTTTTACAATATTTAAGTAGTTTTGCAACAGATAAGGAAAATCATCATTGTGAGCATTATAATTGCACATATGGATAATAAAACAAGGTAGTTAGCAAGCTAAATATTATAATGATACCAATGTTACAAGGTGCTATGCTGTGTTATTACTGTTAGTGCTTCATAGAAAAACATTTCCTCCCTTTTCCTTAGGTCAATAAACATCTAGAAGGGAAAAAATGTATCTGCGAGGATTATTAATGTTTACAGGTTACATAATCCTACAATCTAAAATGAAATGTTCCAAGCACTTTCCACACCTAAGTAGATACAAATTACTCTTAGTGCCTTATCTCGCCATATACCTTTGCTTGCGCTCTCCACATGTTCAAGTTCATCTGGGAATTTTAAGATGTCCCGATAATTCTCTTCACAAATTTCAGACAGAAAATGTAACAGTGTTGTTTTTTGATCAGAGGATTTAGTATCTCTAATCTGTAAAAGGAAAAAGAAAAATAAGGAGGGAAATGCATTATTCCTTAGTAATACATTTCCTGTTCTTTTTAAAGAGACATTTTCATCATTTTACCCACAGTCCTGCATCTGCTTCCAGCTCTAAATCACACCATTTTCAAGGTAACACTAGACACATAATGTGGTCTTACAAGATTTTTATCCTTAGGTTAGGTTACACAGGCTGGAAAAAGAACAAGCAAACATAGAAACACACACACGGAGAGAAGTACTTTACATACTGGAATGTTTGAATTTCACTGATACAGTATTTGCACTGAACATAATTTAGGTCCTGAAGAAAAAAAACAACATTCCTGACCTCCTAATCACAGTCTGCACTGAGCCTAACACTAACTGCAATGTTCAACAAATATTTATATTTTTTTAATTCTCTAGATAGAGAACCATTATTACCATTAGCATAAGTCAGATGTAATGGTGCACTATGGTTAGATCTGATTAGCCAAAGGCAGGATTTTGCACACAAAACGGAAGACCATATGAGCTCATGGCACACTTCTGATTCTCCTAACCGAATGAAGGTGGTTACTGTACTAAACTATAGGTTTGATTATTAGACAGATATTTAGATGTTTTGCAACCACATGTTCAACTTGATGGTCTGCCCCACAGCGGTGTGAGTGCACGCACTATTACATGTCTCAAAGTGAAAAATAGCACCTAGTCACTTCAAAACTACCAACAAGATGTAGTAAGCTCCTGACTGCTAATGCAGTTTTGCTTTCACTCAAATATTGCTTCTTTCTGTATCATATTTGTATAAATATTAACTGTTCAGTGAATCAACAATCATGAACGCTTCAGTGCATATATCAAAACTACTGCTCCTGCTTGCCAGCCTCGATACAGTACATGAATTCTAATGGCAGTCTCCTTTATTTAAGCAAAATTAAGTTCTGTGCTCACTGCCAAGGGTTGTTTACAAATCACCGCTTTCTTCAATAACACCACATGCTGCAATATAACATCCGGAAAGATAATGCATTTTTAAGGATTTGCAATCAACATAAAGACATTAGTTTTGTAGCTAGCACTAGGCAGGTTTAATACATGCTTTCCTGGAAGTATTTCTACATCTGCCACTAAACAATGCCCTTCCCCACTGCTCCTTAACTAGATCAGTCTAAGGACAGATTTGCAGAAACAACCAGCATTGTGGTAGCTGATTTCAAAGCAATGTATTTGGCAAGGTGTTCATGTATAGCATCCATTAATCTGAAACTTGGGGTTTCACTGCAAACCTCTTCCTAAAGTGCTATCTGTTGATTTTGTAACATGTAATACATGGGAAACAAGTGGGGCATGGTAGCGAGGAGAGAAGAAAAATGTTGAGAGAGAACTTTTATTCAATGAATTAAACAGTAATAGATGATTTATTTTTAAACAAACTGCACTGAAGGCTGTTTTAAAAACATCAGCCTGAGCTTGGATCGTAATTAGAATAATTTGAAGACATGAGTTTCTATAACAATGGCAAATAGACTTTCACTTAAGCACTGCTGCAGATCACCACTATAATGAACTAGCAAGCAATAATAAACAGCAAGTCTCTGCCTACCATCAAGCCTACTGTGTCTGGAACAACATCTTCATTCCAGTTATTTGCCTTTTCTGTTAAGTATTCATAGGCACATCAGCAACCTATAGTTGATTTATACCCTACAGAGGATTCTTACAACCGTATATTAGTGGCACAATTATAGTTTCATTTGACATTTTGACTCAGTTGCTTAAAAAATAATAATCTTAATGATTATGAACTGTTACTTTTTAATTGGCCCCATGCAAAATGCATTTGATGAATACAACTGTATGTACACAACATAATGGCAGACCACGATGGAAATAACTTATGTTTCTTTCAAAAAACAAAATGACAGATTCTCATCTCGGTTTTCTAGATGGCTACTAAAGCTTGCAGGTCCCAACATAAGCAAAATCTGTGGACATCATTTTAGGGCTAGGGTGAAGAATGGGAACAGGCTGAAGTGTAAACCATTAAAAGAAGGCAGGACAGATTTTGCAAATGTGTAATTATAAAATGTATGAGGCTTCATTAACAATTAGTTATTTTCACCCTGTAATCCTTATCATAGACATTCCTCTTAACATCTTAACCTACACACTTCAAAAAGCTTGCTGATGACCTTGCCATAGTTGCACATGCCCTGCTTATATCCAGACAAGACTATATTGCTATGTGCTGTACATGAAACCACTTTACAAAAAGGTTTGAAAGCTCCAGCTGGTTCAGAATGTAACTTCCCAGAAATGTTCAGGACAAAGTGGCTCCATCACATATACTATATCAGCTGCAATAGCTACCTGTACATTTCCAGACCCAATCTAAAAGTGCTACTGGTGACATTTAATCCTGAATAGTTTGCAACCAATTATTTGAAGGACTCCTAGCACCTGAACAAACTTTCCTCATATTTAAATTGGGATGGCCAGATGTCCTTCTTTACAGATGACACTCCACTACAGTGGAACCTCGGGTTACGGCGGGGATCCATTCCAGAGGCCCTGCCACAACTCGAAAATGATGCAACCCAAAGCATTGTGTCTGTGCACACGCACAGAGTGATTTAGTGCTTCTGCATGTGCGTGAACCCAGAAGTAACCCGTTCCAGTACTTCCGGGTTTGCGCCGGTCGCAAGCCGAGGGTGACGTAAGCCGGAGGCAACATAACCCAAGGCTCCACTGTATTTGAAAGGCTCTCCAATGCAAATCCAGTATAAAGAGAATGAATGCTAAGAAGAGGGAGCAAGGGCATGAGACTATGAGATGCACAGGTTACTTGGCCAGTCTTCCCCATTATGGTAAGATGTTTTGTATTACTTTTAAAATTACAGTAATTATTTCTAGATTTGCATATACACATATAAATTAGCATATAAAATTTTGCTGTTCTCATTCTCTCTCCAACCCCACTTGGTAATAAAAAAATCCCAGTGCTATTTTATATAGACAGCATGACTCTTATATAAGTATCCCAAGCAGGATATTATCCCAGTGGTGGTGTTCTCTGAAAGGCAGAGTCCTGGATTGTCATTTCATACAGCCATGTTCTTTCACTTATGTACTTAAGACTTTGTTTTAATGAAAATACTCTATGGCACACCCATTTTGAGACACTTAACATTTCATTTACTTATTCATACTAAACTATCATACCAACAATTTGTTAGAACCGATGTCAAACCTTTTATTGCTAAAACTGTATCTTGCTACATGGTGAAGCAATTTGAGACAGCTACTGCAGAGATGTAATTGTTCATTACTTGGATTCCCACCTAGCACTTCTAATGGATTACTTAGAACTGTTGGTTCACCATCTCTGAAATAACGCATTCATAAATCCATGATCCTATACTGAAATGTGTGTGTGTGTGTGTGTATGTTACTGCTTATGTCAGACTAGCATTTTGCAAAACTATTTTTTAGATCTACAGAACTGAGAAGGCCAGTTGTAACTGTTTGATATTAAGTTATTAAATTTCCCCTGTAATGTTATTTTTGACTACAAGATCTGTGAAGCAATTTTTGCTGAAGTAGCCAAAGTGGACTTTGAATATATGAAGAATTATGTAAGTTTTCAGTTTGGTATATTAAAAATTAAATCCGATCATAAAAGGGTTACTTCTCTGTGGAAATTAACTTTTTCCCATTAGATATGTTTACTTAGCTTGGTTTTTAAATTGTGCCAACTGAATATCAGAACGGGAAATTTTTTAACAGGCCAACAAATGTCCATTTTGACACATATAGAGCAGGCCAGATCAAACACCCTGAGCCTTTATCCTACAGGACAATAAAACTGAACTAGGGATAGATTCCTCTATTTACTTCACAACTTTATAGGTCAGTCATATGATTTCAAAATTAAATAGCTGCTGGTCAAAGTAGACAAGCTTATTAACTATTGGGTAGCTTTATATGCCCTGTAACACATATGTACAATCTTGTTGACAATATCAATTTTTACATACAGAATTTTTAATACACACACAAACATACTGTATGTAAAATTTGGGACCAAGATAGTTGCGACTAATTCCCCATGCTTCAAATTTAGCAGTGCACATGGGGATGGGGGAGGGAGACCTTAAAACCAGGTTAATCCATGATTGATTCATCTACATGTCTCGGTATACAAAAAGATTTAAAGGGTAACCATTTTCATAACATGCATTTCCAAATGATGTTGTAATCTTTTACATTCACCCAAATAATTTTTCACTGTGATTTAAAATAATAATTTAAAAGAAAAAAACCCAAAATATGTGAAGCGATTACATAGTGTTTTCTATCTATTTAACAATGTAAATAAAAAACTTTGTGTGGGGCTTCTAAGAAGTATTGTACCCAAACACCCCACTTGAATCCACAGTTGAGCAGATTTCTTTATAAAACATTTTTCAACTGGATATTTCAAAACATATTTTAATCAGATTTAAGAAAAACTTCTAGAACTTTCCAATCAGTATTAGATATATCACCATATTTTTCTGTGTATAACACCCCCCGTGTATAAGACGCCCCCTATTTTGGGGGACTCAAAAGTAAGAAAATGCACTATGCACTATCCATGTATAAAACGGCATCTTATTTTAAACTTCAAAAATTTAGGGAAAAATATAGTCTTATACACGGAAAAATACAGTATTTTATTATTAACTTCACTGATGCCACACAGGAATATGGTGTTTCCGTCCCAACTCTACCAGATACTTTTCAGTGAAATTCAGGATTCTTTCCTTGGGTTGAACGTTCACATATCAGCCTAGCAGAAACATTTATTGATCTATAAGAGTAAGCAATGTTAACAAACAGACCTTCCATCTCACTACTTGCATAAGAAGGTCACCTGTGCAAGAGGGGCAAGTGCCAGGTAACAACTTGTTAGCTGCTCTTAAAGTATTATTTCCAAGCTAATATCTGCCAAGAAATAAGACTGTATAGGTAAATTTTCAGGAACCAGAGGCAACATTATAGCAACATTTAAAGATATTCAACACTACCACCAACAGTTACGTGTTTTTGTGTAGCTTAGGCTTACCTTGCAAAGAAAGCTAATATTAAAGCCAAGTGACTGAGCATTTCTTGAGCCTGAATTCATGTAGTTTCCTATCAGTAGCACAAGTTCCAACAGTCTGCTAAAATTTTCACTCTTCTTCAGTTCCTCACAGGCGATTGTTACTGCCATGATGCCAGGCTTGATATTGTTTATGTGCTCTTCAAATGTAAGTTTGAAAAGGATGCCATTGAGGCGAGGCCGTAACATTTTCACCGAGCTCATCTGCAAGATTAGAAACAGCTTGTGGATTATGTGCAAAAATACTCTTCATGCAATACATCAGAACAAAATAAAAAAATTCCTTCCAGTAGCACCTTAGAGACCAACTAAGTTCGTTATTGGTATGAGCTTTTGTGTGCATGCACACTTATTCAGAGAGAAGGTATAGAAGGTATCTGAAGAAGTGTGCATGCACACGAAAGCTCATACCAATAACTAACTTAGTTGGTCTCTAAGGTGCTACTGGAAGGAATTTTTTTATTTTGTTTCAACTACGGCAGACCAACATGGCTACCTACCTGTAATCAGAACAATATGATCACTTTTAAAATATTATTTTCCATAATGTATATATGCCACCTGAAAAGACATATTTGCTCTACTTCCCATAGTAGTAGTAGAAGCCCATGTTTCTTTATTCCTGAGACACAATTACTGCACGTTTTTACCATTTAGGTTAAAAAAACAACAACCAGGTAAAGGACCCCTGGACGGTTACACCCAGTCAAAGGCAACTATGGGGTTGTGGTACCCATCTTGCTTTCAGGTCGAGGGAGCCAGAGTTTGTCCACAGACAGCTTTCCAGGTCATGTGGTCAGCTTGACTAAACCACTTCTGGTGCAATGGAACACTGTGACTGAAACCAGAGCACATGGAAACACCGTTTACCTTCCAGTCGCAGTGGTACCTATTTATCTACTTGCATTGCTACGCTTTCAAACAGCTAGGTTGGCAGAAGCTGGGACAGAGCAATGGGAGCTCACTGCACTGCACTGATTCAAACCGCTGGCCTTCCGAATGGCAAGCCCAAGAGGCTCAGTGGTTTAGACATCTATGTTCCTGTAAGCAGTATGACTCAAGGGTTTTACCATGAAAAAACAAAACTTTGCTGATTCTGAGGACCCTTTCCCCTCCCTTCAGAAAATATCTCTCTTTTCTCCTCATGCCATCTTATTTTACCATCTTCATTCATCTCTATAATACGCAGCAGTGGGCTTTTAAACAGCATTATTCCATTAATCTCTGCCTATCCTTCACCGTTTCCCCTTTCTTTGTGTCCTTTTCTCATGCTGTTGTCTTTTAGACTGAAAGCCTAGGGACTGGATCACTTTTAATATAATATCAGCACAATGCCTAGTTGTTGACACGTTTTAGTATCCTTGTCACTGATATTCACAATGTAATAACCTGTTGATTCTTCCCAACCACTCTCATCAACCCCTTTCTTTTGTTCTTGCAAGGAGATAAAAGGGAACATCCCCATATAGCTCTATTTCCTTTTTCCTAATATTCACACACTGTGTGATTCTTGCTCTCTTCTTCCCATTCCTGCTATTCAATAGAAGCTATTGATAGGAGAAAGGAGGGAGAGAACTCAGTCAGGCAACTCTGTCAGGATTTAAGTCCAAGCTTAAATCTTCAGAGGGCTGAATAAGACCAAGGGTGACACACACATTTCCAAATCCTGCTTCAATAATTATTTCATTTCCCAGCATAGATGCCCCAGTTAGAAACACTGGGAGCAGAAGACACACTGTCTCACTTTGCACAGGATGCTAAACCAAACCATAGCTTAGCATAATTGTGTAGGCATCTGGAGAAATCATAGCCACTTTGCTCCTCCTCCAGTCCTGCTGGCATGGCTTGGCTTAGCAAGTTGTCAGAATCTAGACTTATGGCTTATCTTCTCCAGATAGCTGCAAGATGTAAACCCAATTTTAAAAAACAAAATCTTAGTTATAGCTCAACTAGAGCAGAACAAACCACAAGCTAGGTAAAGGTAAAGGTAAAGGTAAAGGTAAAGGTAAAGGTAAAGGTAAAGGTACCCCTGCCCGTAAGGGCCAGTCTTGACAGACTCTAGGGTTGTGCGCCCATCTCACTCAAGAGGCCGAGGGCCAACGCTGTCCGGAGACACTTCCGGGTCACGTGGCCAGCGTGACATCGCTGCTCTGGCAAGCCAGAGCCGCACACGGAAACGGCGTTTACCTTCCCACTAGTAAGCGGTCCCTATTTATCTACTTGCACCCGGGGGTGCTTTCGAACTGCTAGGTTGGCAGGCGCTGGGACCGAGCAGTGGGAGCGCACCCAACCGCGGGGATTCGAACCGCCGACCTTTCGATCGGCAAGCCCTAGGCGCTGAGGCTTTTACCCACAGCGCCACCCGGGTCCCTAACCACAAGCTAGGGTTACACAATAACCAGGGCTCAGCTCACAACATCACAGCAGCAGGAAGACTGGATGAGGAGCAAAGTGGCAATAATCTAGGACAGGGGTCAGCAAACTTTTTCAGCAGGGGGCCGGTCCACTACCCCTCAGACCTTGTGGGGGGCCGAAGTATTTTTTTTTGGGGGGGGGATGAATTCCTATGCGTCACAAATAACCCAAACAAACAAACAAACAAATGGACACATTCTACTCATGTAAAAACACCAGGCAGGCCCCACAAATAACTCAGAGATGCATTTTAAATAAAATCTACTCATTCTTCTCATGTAAAAACATGGATTCCCAGGCTGTCTGCGGACTGGATTTAGAAGGCGATTGGGCCGGATCTGGCCCCCAGGCCTTAGTTTGCCTCCTATCTAGGAGCTCACACATCCTCAAAAAACCATCATTTGGCTTAACATTGTGTGCAAACTGAGACATTTTGTGTTTAATGAAATAGTAACAAAAATTTAGCAAGAAAAGGGTAAGAATAATATAGCTGTGTATACCACTTTGTAATTTCTGAGGGCCATATACTAATTACTGCACTTTTATTCATAATTTGAGATGTTTTCCAAATATATGCAATTTGGAATTATTGTTAGTTATTTAACACAGAACCAAAACAAATGAACAAAAACCCTCCTTTGATCAGGTTTATGGAAGGAAAAATATTTAAATAATACTAGCTTAACCAAAACTGTTTTTTTCCCTTTGACATTAGGAGGGGAAATGACTCCATTATATTTTTAAGCCATGTTCACAGCCAGTCATGAATCTGTAGGAACATAATAGTTATTGGGGATACACAAATAATGCCACAGGCAGATAAAATCATTAAAAGCTTCTAGTCTCACAACAGCATTCAGCCAGACTAAGCCATATAAGCACCTAAAAGTATTTGATTGAAACCAGTGACAGTTGTCAGATGTGATCTTTTACTGCATTTCAGATGCCTTACTCTTTTTTTAATGATTCATTGCATAAGTGCTCTAGGTCACTGACCACAATTGTGCATTATGCAAGGGTTTATTTGTATTATGAGGTCACTGTCCATCAAAATGCTACCAAGGGAATTTCATTATTTTGAGTTGATCCTACACTTTATTAAAAGGGGGAGGAAGAGGCATTGACAGATTTTTATAACTGTTACAAGTGTGTTATTTCCCTATGGACCATCTGATTTATGCTTTTGCTACTTACAAGATTTCTAAACAGTGTTCCAGTCCTGTCACTGAAAATAATCAGACCTCCCTTTGAACAGATGGGGAATTCAGTCAACCATATCCCCCTCTCCCAACAGGTTTAGTTCCTGAGCCAACACAAAGTGAGAATCAAGTGGAATTTGATGGTCTAGAGCAGGGGTAGGCAGAAAGCAGACTGAGATTTGCTACTGGGTTTCTGGGTCCTTTTCAAAAGATCAAAAAGTATGTTTGACATCTAATTGTTTAACGATAGCAACCATTTCCCCCTAAAAAATAGGATGCTAAAATGAAGAAAGCAAGGGGTAAGAGTGGAACCAGCAATCCCCACCCCTTTGAATGGACTGTGAGCTCATGATGGTGGCCTTGTTTGCTCATCAACATAAGCCAGAGTACTACTTACCACAGCTGCACATATGTACTGATTCCCCTTCAGGCTTCTAAAGACAGTCATTCTTTGGCTTAGCATGTTGGCCAAACTCAAGATCATAGTTAAGGTCTTTCTCCCTTAGCCATGACTTGTAACTACAGGGCAAAACTTGGCTATATATTGTGGTTAAGGAGGAGAAACCTTAAACCCTGATCCCTGGTTTGGTTGACAATCTGAGCCAAATACTGATTTTGCTACTATGCTGACCTAAAAGACCTAGGGAGGGTGCAAAGCTGCAACAATCTCTTCAGCAGCTAGCACGTCTATGCTAAGCAGTGGTTTGCCTTGGTGTGGAATGGGAATTCAATCACTAAAAGCAAGTTTCTGATCTCAGAAGTGTCCTGTTTCTTATTAACATAAGAAGAGCCTGCTGGATCGGGCTGCATCAACCAGATGCCTACGAGAAACCCAAAAGCAGGACAGTAATTCTAACTGTGTGGCCACCCCTTTCTAAATCACTATTTTCCAATTTGGCCAAGAAGGTAGAATGGTGGGGGGTAAGCAGGTCATGGAAGCGTGGTATGTCCTTATGCTGTATAAAGGCATTCAAGATATATGTATAATAGAGCCATGCTGAGAAAATCTAACTTGTCTAACTTGTCTAAGACTTGTCCTAAGTGAGTTTCAAAAACTCACTTCCAGCATTTTAGAAACAAACACAGTTCCACTCAATTCACCCTCACTTGCTCTTTTTCTAAAGTACCAATAAGAAAACAGAAAAAGAGGCTACATTAAGAACTAGATAACACAGGAGGCATAATTTCACTGATAGTTATGGTTTGAAAGAGTTTATATGTATGTGATGGTTAAATTGGACACTGTTTTTTTTGTAGGCTTCCCTGATGAAGAGCAGCAAATCGTCTACTAAATAATTAATAAATCAGGGTCTTGACTACTTAACTACTACACTTCATTATTAGCTTCGCTATTCTTTTCTTTTTTTGCACCGGTAAGAAACAAAACAGAAATCTTAGGATTTCATTTGAAGAGATTTGCAATACTGTGGCCTAGCACTTATTAGAAGTGTTTCTCAAATTTTGCTTCCTTTTCTTAGTATGGATAGGCGTAGTGTTAGCATTTTGTATTCACTGCTTTGTGGGAAAAGATTATTTGGTTTTGAACAGCCCATTTAAGCAAGTTAAGTTTCTACTTTAATATTAAAATGC